GCAGCGGGAGGCGGCGTCGGCCGCCGGCATCAGCATCGGGCGTGCATCCGAGCCGGCGCGGGGGAAGCACGGAGCGGTGTGGTAGGGGCTGTAGCTCAGCAGCCGTGGCGCTGACGTGCGGAAGCGCTCGAGTGACCTCCCTTGTCTGGTCGGCGGTGCGCAGGGATGTGGCTCGTGAGCCAGTGTTAGTGGAGGTCACGCTGGCACCGAGGGGCTACCGTCGGGCCGCTGCTGGTGCCTAGGGCGCGTGGTGCCATGCTACGAGCGGCTGCTCAGAATCGCTTTGCTCACCGGTGTGCCGCTGCTGCTGCTGCTGCTGCTGCTGCTGCTGCTGCTGCTGCTGCTGCTGCTGCTGCTGCTGCTTTTGCTGCTTTTGCTGCTGCTGCTGCCTGTCGCGAGGCCAGGGGTCATCACCAGGGCACTGCGGTCAGGAAAAGGCTGAGCCGCATCCGACGCGCCGTGGGCGGAGCGCTGCATAGCCGATGCTTCCGTGATGCGGCTCGATGTAGAGCACGTTTGCATCGCGATGCGGGCTGAAGGGGGCGCCGCCGAGGCATCGTTGATGTCGCCAATGCATCGTTGAAGCATCGTCGATGCCTCGCCCGTACGTCGCGAACTTTAGTCCGCGGGCGCTGGCGGGGCCTCCGCAGGCGCTGCCGAGTACGTCGGGCGTGGCCTGTTCGCGGCCGGTCGCGGCTGGCGCGGCGGGGCAGAGGTCCCGGGGCCCAGGGCGAGGTCTCGCTCAGGTCCGCGCGGAGCCTCACTCCGCTGGACTCACCAGCAGCCCTCGAAAGTGGCGACAATTTTGCAGATCGCAGCCCCCCAGGGACGGCGTGGTCTCGCTCAGGTCTGCGCGGTGCCTCACTCCGCTGGACCCACCAGCAGCCCTCGAAAGTGGCGACAATTTTGCAGATCGCAGCCCCCCAGGGACGGCGTGGTCTCGCTCAGGTCTGCGCGGTGCCTCACTCCGCTGGACCCACCAGCAGCGAAAGTGGCGAAAGTTTCGCAGATCGCAGCCCCCCAGGGACGGCGAGGCTCAGGTCTGCGCGGTGCCTCACTCCGCTGGACCCACCAGCAGCCCTCGAAAGTTCGCAGATCGCAGCCCCCCAGGGACGGCGTGGTCTCGCTCAGGTCTGCGCGGTGCCTCACTCCGCTGGACCCACCAGCAGCCCTCGAAAGTGGCGACAATTTTGCAGATCGCAGCCCCCCAGGGACGGCGTGGTCTCGCTCAGGTCTGCGCGGTGCCTCACTCCGCTGGACCAACCAGCAGCCCTCGAAAGTGGCGAAAGTTTCGCAGATCGCAGCCCCCCAGGGACGGCGTGGTCTCGCTCAGGTCTGCGCGGTGCCTCACTCCGCTGGACCCACCAGCAGCCCTCGAAAGTGGCGAAAGTTTCGCAGATCGCAGCCCCCCAGAGACGGCGAGGTCTCGATCAGGTCCGCGCGGTGCCTCACTCCGCTGGACCCACCAGCAGCCTTCGAAAGTGCCGACAATTTTGCAGATCGCAGCCCCCCAGGGACGGACGGCGTGGTCTCGCGCAGGTCCGCGCGGTGCCTCACTCTGCTGGACCCACCAGCAGCCCTCGAAAGTGGCGACAGTTTCACAGATCGCAGCCCCCCAGGATCGGCGAGGTCTCGCTCAGGTCCGCGCGGTGCCTTGTGAGCACCTGGGGGTCTGAGACGGTTGCGGATCTTGTGGCGCGGGGTATCAGCCTGGAGACTCGCCAGAGCAACGCGTGCATAATCTGACAGTTTCAGCGCTCGTTTTAAGGAAAAAAACAGCAGGTTAGTAATCCGATTGTTGCAGCGTTTGTTTGTCCAGCGGCTTTGAAACAATAGGAAAGCCAGTCATCGATCGCAATCGGGATTCGGTTGCGCGGGCTCGACGGGCGATGGAGAATGCATAACGCTCCTACAGAGCACAACCCCAGCGCCCCCAGCAGTCGCGCAGTGCATCGCATCTTGGGGCGGCTGGGAACAGGCTTCAATATTGCCAGCGGGCCCTACGCGCCCAGGATCATCACGTTCGAACGCGTTGAACTGCTAATGCGCTGCATGTTTCGTTTCAACATTGGGCCCCTTGTCATGGTGATGTATGAAGCCCCCGTGGTATGCAATTGGTGTATGATGGTGCCTTCGGGCTTCTAATGGAATCCCTTGCGTGCCTCTCGACCCGTATTGTTGCGTATAGGACACCTGATGGTTCATGGTTCTTCGCGTTTCTACATGCTTTTTGTGGGCCCCACCTTCATTCGGCATTCCCGCCCAGTCGTCCCACTGGCCCGCCGCTGGTTTCATGCGAGACGTAAGCACTCATATAAGTTTGCAGCGTCTCACTGTTTCCCAGGAGCTACAATGCATTCTCAGTTTGCCCCCCCTGGGCCCCCATTGGAGCGGAGGTTCTTTTCGTTGCGTCCGCAGGCCCCGCGCAGTCTCTGGAATGCGGTCTTGCATGATGTCACGCTCGGCGGCCTCAGGCCCAAGCGTGGCCCAGGAGGGGCCCGAGCCTTGGGCTGCCGCGGCCGGCCCTTTGGCGGCCGCGGGGCTTGGCGCCCTGGTAGCGGTTGTCAATGCGCGGCCCAAGCTGCGGCGCCGGAAAGTGCATTGCGCCGCAGTGCATGCACCCGCGTCGGGGCCTCCAGAATACCAGTGAAACGATAGGTTGTCACCATTGAGTTTATGAGATTAAGATGGCTATTCTGTATAGGCGTTTGCATTGCGCACGCGCGGATGCGCGCGCGCGAGCAACGAGGAAAATACATCGCGCCACAATGCATAATTCGAAGTCGAGGCCTCCAGAATATGAGTGGGACATTTGGTTTTCGCCATTTGGTTTTCAAGGTTAAGAGGGGCATTTTGTAAATGCGCTTGCATTGCTCGCGCGCGAACGCGCGCGCGCGCGAGCCACGGGGGAAGAACAGCGCGCCGCGGTGCATTCCCCCGCGTTTTAGGCCCCCCCATGGTTTTCATCATTCAGTTTTTCAAGTTAATATGGTTATTATGCATCAGTTGCCCGAACGTTTTTTTTGCCCTACGCGCGCCCGCGCGCGCGCAAAAGCAACTAGGAAATACACTGCACCACTGTGCATTTTTCGCCGTCGAGACCTCCAGACTACGAATGACATGATTCATTTTCAGCATTGACTTTTCGAGATGAAGATGGCTTTCCTGCAGAGGCGTTTGACTTGTGCGCGCGCGGGCAACGAGGAACTTATATTGCGCCACAATGCATTGCTGAGGCTTTCAGAACGCGAGTGCAACAATGGATTTTAACATTCAGCTTCTGAGCTTAAATAAGGTTCGTATTTGGCACGAGCTCATGCCTTGCGCACGCGCGCGCACGCTCGCGCGCGATCAACCAGGAAAGCACGCCGCGAGACAAAGGCGTCGTTCCACGTTGGGCCCCCGAGAACGCGAGGGATACACGCGGTTGTTTCTCCATCCAGCTTTTCGAAATGCAAATTGACATCGCGCGTGAAACTTTCGCATTGCGCGCGCGAGCAAAGGGGGGAGTGCGCTGGGCCACAGTGCAGGTTTCCACGTTGACGGCCTCCAGAGAACGAGTCCTCAGAGTAAAATGGCCATTCGGCATCGGTTGCCCGGGGGGGGGGGGGGGGGGGGGCGCCGCATTGCGCGCGCGCGGGCGCGCGCACGCGCGCGAGCAACGGTGAAAGGGCATTGCGCCACAATGCGTTCTTTCTCGCTGGGGCCCCAGAATACGAGTGGAACTATTGATTTTCGCCATTCCGTTTTTCTGAATGAAGATGGCCTTTTCGGCGCAGGTTATCGCGTTGCGCGCGTGAAGCGAGGAATCTGCATTGCGCCACAATGCATTCGTGTGCGCCTTGGCCTGCAGAATACACGTGGAGAAATTCGGAAATTTGCCACCGCTGTTCAATATTCGAATTTGAGATTGCGGTGTGGCTTCGGTTTCTGAGTCGCGCTCGCGCGGGCGCCAGCGCGCGCGCGCGCCCGCGCGCGCCCGCGCGCGCGGGCAAGGAGGAAAACGCATTGTGCGACAATGCAGTATTACACGCTGAGCCCCCCCAGGATACCAGTGGAATGTTTGGTTTTCGCCATTGGGTCCTCGAAATTAAGATGGCTATTCGGCATCAACTTCTGCGCTGCGCGCGCACGAGCGCGCGCGCATGAGCGCTGGCGCGCGCGCGCACGAGCGCTGAGGAACGCGCGTTGTATCGCAATGCATCATTCCACGTTGGGGCCAGTCAGACGATTGGTGAACACCATTTAGTTGTCGAGCTTAGGGTGGCCACGATGCATCGTCTCTTTCGCTGCGCGCACGCAGGCGCGCGAGCAGTAGGAGCAGCGCCTTGCATCGCGCTGCGCTCTGCTACGTTGGGGCCATGCGAACACGGGTGAAACATGTGGTGTTCACAGTTCAAGTTTCGCATTCAGGATGGCCGCTCGGCGCCGCTTGTTTTTGCGCGGCGCGCGCAGACGGGCAATGGGGACGTCGCATGTGTGTCGCAACGCAGCCTTTCCGCGTTTATGCCGTCAGAATGAGAGAAACAACAATAGGTTGTCGTCCCTAGATTTTCGTGCTTAACATTGCCATTCGGCAGTTAGTTTTGCGTCGCGCACACGGGAGCTGCGCGGTGCGCCGCGCGCCTGTCTCGCGCGGGGAGCGAGCGAGTGTGGGCCCGCAGTCGGCGGGGGCCCGCGTCTCGGCGTCAGCCGAGCCATGTCTGCTGATTGCAGCTCGCGGGCGCGCATTCGCGCAGGGAGCTATTGGGCGCGCGCGCTCTCGGCCGTGCGAACCCGCATCCGGCGGGGCCAGCGGCGCCTGCGTGCCGCGATCAACCTAGAGCCCAGGGCGTACCCCTTTCGCGCCCTGCGTCAATTCCCAACTTAACGGCCCGCCCGCCGCCCGCACATGCGTTCGGGGCAGACCTGCTCGGGATAGCAACACGTGCGTTTTGGAGGGGGCGTCGCCGCGCCCGCCAGCGTCACTGTTTGTTCGTGATCGAGAAGGCGCGGTCTTGCGCTGGTCGCTCTTGGGGCCGCCAGCGCACGCCACGTTGCTTCCGAGCCCGGGCCCGCAGTTGCCGCGGCCGCGGCGGGCAATGCATTGGGGCTGGGGGGCGGCGAGGGGGGAGGGGCGGCTGGGGGGCGGCGAGGGGGGAGGGGCCGAGCTGGCAGAGTGGCCGAGGCTACGGGGTGCTCGGCAGACCGCGCGCTGCCCGAGCTCCGTCCGAGCCGGGAGGATGGCCGAGGTGCGGGGGGGGGGCCGGCAGACCGCGCAGCGCCCCAGGTCCATCCGAGCTGGGAGGATGGCCGAGGTGCAGGGGGGGGCCGCCAGACCGCGCATTGCCCCAGGTCCATCCGAGCGGGGAGGATGGCCGAGGTGCAGGGGGGGGCCGCCAGACCGCGCATTACCCCAGGCCCATCCGAGCCGGGGGGATGACCGAGGTGCGGGGGGGGGGGGGGGCGCAAGACCGCGCATTACCCAGGCCCATCCGAGCCGGGGGGATGGCCGAGGTGCGGGGGGGGGCCGCCAGACCGCGCATTACCCCAGGTCGCTCGCTTGCAACGTTCTCTGAATCGTCGGCTTGGTGGATGGCCGAGGAGGGCTCGAAGACGGAGAGGACGAACGTGGGATGAGGGGCGAAGGAGGAGGGAGAAAGAGGGGGGGACGAAGGGAGGATGATGGCGATGATGCGGACGAGGAGGAGGCAAGACGAGAGCGTTGAAGGATGATGACGTGAACGAGAGCGGGGGTGAGGACGAGGACGAGGTTGACGACGTGGGCGAAGACCAGGGTGGCGCGACGTCCTGGTCGGAAAAAAGGCCCCGATTGGAGGAGGGGAGGGGCTACGGGTCATGACGGCACAGAGGTAACAGCAAATTCTCTATTTTTATAAGAATAATAATAATAATAATAATAAGAATAATATTAGTAATAATAATAATAATACTAATAATAATAATAACACTAATAATAATAATAATAATCCCCCAAAAAAATAACAATGGCTGGGCCGAGGGCAGGGGCGGCCTCGAATCCAATCTACTTCATCTGCCTTCCTACTTCATGTTTCTACCTACTTCTTCCGACCGCCCTGTGCTTTTGTTTGTTTTCGCTTGTCCGTCGGCTCCACTTTTCTCCCCAGGCCCCTCCGCGGGCGCTGGAGCGGCCGGGCCGTCGTAAGACACTGCCGGCGGACTCAGCTGCTACTCTCTTAATTTATTTGGGCCCCGGCTCAGCTTGAAATTGTCTTGTCTCTTGGATCTCTTAATACTGGCCGGGGGTGTACTCCGCCTCATTCCCAAACGCCTCAGTCCTCGCCGCTCCCGTCATGTAACGCATAGAAGAGGTACGCAAGTCCGGTTCGCAAGTCTTCCCGAGCGCAGGAGGTCTCTGAATCCACAGCGGCCGCTGCTGGTTTCCAAGCAGTTGTTTGCACCGCGACACTGTCGCCCTCGGTTTTTGTTTCCCCCTTCCCCCTGCTCCTCGAGTTCGAGATGCGCATGGGCGTGCCAGGCATTGCGGCGGGCGCCGTCTAATCCGCATCCTGGGCACGCCAGGCATTCCAGACATAATAGGCATACTGGGCATGGAAGTGGGCATGCCAGGCACTGCAGCCGGCGCTCGACGTGCTCCTGTCGCTCACGTGAGGCGCTGAAGCGCCGCCCCGCCGCCCGCCAGCGGGCCAGGGCCTCTCGTGGTGTCGCGCTCGTTCGCTCCTGCCCTCCTCGGCCTCCTCGCTCCCCGCAGGCGCCCCTCATCGTCCAGAAGGCCGACGGCGGCTTCGGATACGACTCCACCGACTGCGCCGCGGTGCTGCACAGGCTGAAGGACCGGAGGGCAACGAGGGGAAGAGAAAGGCAGGGGAGGAGGGGGGGGGGGGGGGAGGGGGAGGGAGCAAGAGGAGGGGGGGAGGGGGAGAGGGAGAGGGACGGGGAAGGAGGGGGCAGCGGGGGAGCAGGAAGATGAGGAGGAGGACCAGTGTCAACCCAAGGCGCACCAACGATATTGCAATAGACCCTCCCTCCAAGTTCCCTGTTCGTGGGCCCCTACAAGGGTGTACCTTCATTGCGGGAAGAATCGGTCTGAGAAACTTCAACCGTGCCAAAAGACCACTCCTGGGACTTCAGCGCCGCGAGTCAACGTGAATGCGTCCTGACAATCCTCAAGCGTGCCAAGATGCCCTTCTTGGGACATCAACACCGCGAATCAAAGCGACTGCGGCGTCCTGGCAATCCAACCAAAGCCAGAATGCCATTCCTGCGACTTCAAGCATACAAGTGTATGGAACTGCTGCAAACTGTCAAGGCGAATCTGCGCGGCGCTAAGGCGAGATCCACATGTTGAAAAGGATTCGCCCTCCATATTTGAAACGGTTGAAAGCTTGTACGACGAATGTGCGCGGTGCGAAGGCGAGAGCCACATGTTGAAAGCGGCCCGCCCTCCATCGTTGAAGTGGTTCAAAACTTATACGACGAATGTGCGCGGGACTACGTCGATAGCTACAGTTTGAAAGCGGCCCGCTCGCCATCCGTGAAATTGTTGCAAATTTGCGAGGTGAACGCTTGCAGCGCTAAGGAGAGAACCACAGTTGGAAAACGGCCCGCCCTCCACATATAGAATTGCTGTAAACCTTCAAGACGATTGTGCGCGGCACTAAAGCGAGAGCCACCTTTTAAGCACGGCCCGCCCCTCATCCGTGAAGCTGTTTCATTGTGGTGCCAAGTCGAGCGCTACATGTTGAAAGCGGCCCGCCCTCCATCCGTGAACTTGTTGCGAACGTTTAAGACGAATGTGCGCGGCGCGAAGGCGAGAGCCACAGTTTGAAAACGGCCCGCCCTCTGCGCGGCGCGAAGGCAAGAGCCACATAAAAAAAAAACGGCCCGCCCCTCACCCGTGGGCGACGTCTAGGGCGAATCGCCCGCCCCGCCCTACCAACACGTCCGGGGGCGCGACAGGGAGCAGCTATGTATCAGGAACAGGGATGGGGGAGGAGGAGGAGGAGGAGGAGGAGGAGGAGGAGGAGGAGGAGGAGGAGGAGGAACCGGAGGCGGGGCAGTCTTCTCCAAGCAGCCCGCTTAAAGCATAGCGCATCGTAATTGTGATCCTGCCACCCTTGCAGCGCCCGCTCGGCGCCGCACTGCTCTGTCTACAGTTGCGACGCACCTCGATGCCCTTGCGGGCTGCTCCACGTTCCCCTTTCTCTTCGCCCTTCTTTTGTCCGCAGCTTATGGTGTGCACTGCCTGATCTTGTATGTAATTCGGACGCGATCCGAGGTTTGTTCTTCTGGGGCGCGTTGGGACGCTCGGGCGCTTCGTTCGCCAAACTCCGAGCAACTTAACATGCAGGACGAGCAGGGTGAGTGGCGATCAGGGATGGGGGAGGAGGAGTTGGTAGTAGCGCTGGAGAGGGAGGGCAGTGCAAATCCCCCAGTGCTTTAAGCTGGCGCAGTTTGATTTGGCACACCCGCACAGCTCAGCTCCTGTCAGCTCAGTTCATTTTACCCTTGGGCAAAGTTCTGCTCAACATGATTGCTTGGTTCGTGTTGCTATGTTTTGTTTCGTGCGTTCCGCAAGCATACGAAAAGCCAATTGCTGAAACACATTTCAGACTGAGTTGGGCCAAGCTAGTGGCTCAAGTCAGCTTGGTGGCTCAGCTCGACATCGGCTGAGTGCAGTTCGTCTCAGCGTGATGTAAGATCAAGTGCTATTCCAGTGGCAGCTTCGGTTTAACGTAAGCCTGGTTCGAGCACAGGCTATGCCTCCCGATGCGTCTGCAGCGCAAGTTCGATTCGCGGTTGTAGCTGTGGCGTCTTCCTCCTTCTCATCGCTTCCATCGTTGCCCTCCTCCCCTCCGCTTGTTCCCGAGCGAATGTTCCCCCTCCTTGCCCTTTCTCCTTTCTCCGGTGCCTCGCCCTCCACTCCGCACCCGCATCCACACTCATCAACCTTTTCTCTTCTCTTCTCCTCCTCCGCTTCATCTCCTCCTCTTCCCTATGCCCATCCTTCACCACCCACCAAACCACCCCAACCCAACCCGAAGGCTCAGATTTACCCTCGATTTCTAGTGGGGGGGGGGTCCGGGAACGTCGAAAAAACACGTATGGAACCCTTACCCCCCCCCACCCGAAATTCGGGCCTTCGGGTTGGGTTGGGGTGGTCTGGTAGGTAGCCCATCCTCCTCCCCTTCTCCTGCTCCTCTGCCCCCGGAAGGAGGAGAGGGCGGAGCGCGTCGTCTACGTGATCGACAACGGGCAGGAGCGCGGCGCGGGCGTCGGCCGTCGATCCCACGCTCCCCGTGCGCTGCGCCCGCCTCCCGCGCGCGGCGGAGGAGGAGGGGCCAAAGGAGGAGAGGAAGGAAAGGGAGGAGTAAGAACAGACTGGAGGAGGAGGAGGAGGAGCAGGAGGAGGAGGAGCAGGAAGCATCAGAAAGGAGGAGGGGGGAGGGATGCAGTAGGAGGGCGGGGGGGATGACAAGTATGATGATGATGATGATGATGATGATGATGATGATGATGATGATGATGATGATGATGATGATGATGATGATGATGATGATGACGAGGAATGGAATGGAATGGAATGGAATGGTCAAATCGCGAAGCGAAAACTAATTCAGACTGCCTCCACTCAGAAGACGAAGAAGCCGTGTACAACTGGCACTGGTGGAAGATGTAGAGGAGGATGAACGCAAATGCAGTGAATTGAAAGGAAATCCCCTTCACCAGAGCTTTCACACAGGAACCCAGCAAATACAAATTGACCACTGCCGCCAACTGAGGAAAAGACAAATTATGTACTGAAGCAAGCCACCAGAGACAACGGCCAAACTGAAAAGACGAGCGCCTAAGCTGAAATGAAATCGGCTCTATGAGGCCCTACCGTAGAACACCGGGCAACCTCGCGAGAGATCGCTTCATCCACACACAGCCTCGCCACTGGTCACCAGAAAGGTAGCACCTCCAACAGCATGAGCTCCAGACCCTGCAAAAGAAAGTACGCCCAGGCCGAGGGGTGAAGGACTTAGATGGGCTCGCAGCCCCCGTGCCTCCAGCCCAACCCACTGCCTGAGACGGAACTTCACGTAGCCGAAGAGGTACGCCCAGGCCGAGGGGTGAAGGGCTTAGATGGGCTCGAAGCCCGCGTGCCTCCAACCCAACCCTCGGCCTGGGACTGACGTTGAAATTGATGTTCAGAAGAACCCAAAACACCAATCTTGCAAAACTCGTCGACCGAAAACTTTGCACTGTACTAGCCAACCGCCCGAATGTAACAACTGTTGTGTCGCAGTCAAGCGGTGCCCCTCAAGCACCACGGGGAGGTTCAGTGCAGGACAGGGAGCTTGCCAAGATGAGCCAAAAAATGGTTCTACTGCGCTCCGCGCCCCTGAGCTTGAGATGATGATGACGAGGAGGAGGAGGAGGAGGAGGAGGAGGAAACGGGGAGGATGAGGGGGGGAGAGGGGGAAGGAGAAGGAGGGGACAGCAGGAAAGGGAGCCTGTAGAGGTGGAGATGGATGAGCTAGAGAGAAAGATGAGGATGAGGAGAAGGTAGACGAGGAGGAGGAAGAGGAGAAGGAGGAGGAGGAGTACGAGTACGAGGATCACAAGGGACAGTCTACAGAGCGGCAGAGGAGGGAGGAGGAGGAGGAGGAAGAGGGGAAGGGGGATTGGGAGGAATAAACGGGAGAGGGGGAAGAAGGGGGAGGACGAGGGGATGTCTATGGCCAAGGCTCTGAAAACAAGCATGTTGGCAAGTTTGCGGCCCTGGGTTCCTTCGAGTTTGGCTTGTCGATTTGTCGACGCCACGATCCTGGTCTCTCTGGATATGGCATGCCGGCCCTTGAGGTCCTGCGACGTCTTGTTCGCGCTCTTGTTCACGCGGCATTGTCCAACAAATCAGCGAACGCGACGGTTCCGCAGGATAGTTCGGACAAGGGCAAGGCGAGTGACGTTTGCTGGAGCTGTTCCAGACCCCTGTCAAGTCATGTCGCTCTCGCTCGCCGTGGTGCTTGACTACAGCAGTTGCACGGGCATTGCCGCACGCGTGCGGGTGCCCACTTGTTCCATCTCGCCCTATTTGAGCTCTCGTATAGCCCCTCTGCATATGTCCCGGTCTTTGTCTGGAGATCCCTGCTGCCGCGTGCAAGACCCAGAGCGGGCAGGTAACGAGACCGGGAGAGCAAGTGCGGCCCTGTCGCGTTTCCCGTCGCCAGCGAGTACGACGGCAAGCGCTTTCACGGTCCACTGAATCTGCGTGTGAGTTTCAAGCAAATGTGGCTTCAGCTTGACTCGATCGCCCGACACATTAGTCTCTTCTCCACCTCGTCCTCTTGCCCCCTCCCCCCACCCACCTTCGATCCCCCAGCCCAAGACCTGCAATGTCGCGACTGTTTCGGGCCACGGGCCCGTGGAACTCGCAACCCCATCCCTAGGACCATTGTTTCCTCGCGGGCCGACTTTGCCGTGCTGGGGCCCTAAGCGGACTTCCGGAAACCCAGAACTCAGATGCATTAACCAGCCTCGCCATCCTCTTTCCTCCTCCCTCCTCCTGTCCCCTACTACTCCTCCATCCTCCCTCATCCTCCTTACCCTCCCATCTCCTTCTCCTTCTCCTCCTCCTCCTTCTCCTCCTCCTCCTCATCCGCCTCATCTTCCTCCTCTCTTCCTCCTCCTCTCGTCTGCTCCTCCTTCTCCTTCCTCTACCTCTTCCTGCCCGCTCCGCCACAGTGCTGCTTCCCCTCATGGGCAGGAGTCGCACATGAGGATGGTGTTCGACGTCGCCGAGAGAGCAGGGTGGCTTGGTGGCAGACGGCTTGACTTCATGGGCTTCGGCCTGGTGCAGGGCGAGGACGGTAAGAAATTCAAGACCAGGTGCGATGGGGGGGGCAGGAGAAGAGGGAGCAGGGGGGGGAGAGGGAGGAGTGTTAGTGGTCAGAAGCTCTACAAGTAGGTCCAAGGAATTCGACGGGCAACGAGGCAGGAGGGAGAGGAGAAGGAGGAGGAGGATAAACATAAAGAGCAAGATAAATATAAAATATATTAATCATGATGTGGGCGCTGAGGAGGAAGGAGGGAAGAGGAGGATGAGGACAGGGACGGCAAGAGGGTCAAGACGGGGTTTGATGGAGGAACAGGAGGGACACGAAAGAGCGAAAGAGGCGCAGGAAGAAGGATCGTGAGGTACCAGGGGATTGAGGATAAATAAGAGGGAGGGCACGGACGGCAAGAGCACCGGGTGTGAGAGGATAGCAGTAGGAACCCAAATGCGGAGCAGGTCGTACGAGCAGGGGGCCTGAGGAGGAACAAGGAGAAAGGATGAGGTGGAGGAGGACGAGAAGGACGAGGAGGAGAGCAAGGGTGTCGATCAAATCGTGGGCAGACCCAAGTGGGGCAGAAGGAGCGGGAAGGAGAGACGGAAAGGAAGGAGGAGGAGGAGGACTGGCGAGGATTACAAGCAGTTCAAGATCAGGTCCCCGTCTGTTTCCCATATACCTCGCGCATCGAAGCCATTGGTCGGGGCGACGGCGCTAATTCAAGATTATCAGGGAGGAAGAGGGGGAGGAGTAGGAGGAGGACGAGGACGAGGACGAGGAACTGAAATGTAGAGGAAGAGGGGAGGGGGTAGAAGGACCAGGATCAGAAAAAGGCGGAGGGCAGGAGGGCATTGAGGAGGAGAGGGAAGGAGAGGAGGAGGAAGGAGGAGGGAGGAGGAGGAGGAGGAGGAGGAGGAGGAGGAGGAGGAGGAGGAGGAGGAGGAGGAGGAGGAGGAGGAGGAGGAGGAGGAGGAGGAGGGGGAGGGGGGGGAGGGGGGGAGGTGGAGGGGGGAGGGGGAGGAGAGGGAGGAGGAGGGAGGAGGAGGAGGAGGAGGAGGAGGAGGAGGAAAGGGAGGAGGTGGAGGAGGAGGAGGAGGAGGAGGAGGAGGAGGAGGAGGAGGAGGAGGAGAGGAGGAGGAGGAGGAGGAGAAGGGAGAAGGAGGAGGAGAAGGAAGAACAGAAGGTATGTAGATCGTGTAGGAGGAAGAGGGCCAATAGCAGGCAAGCCGGGCTGGCGCCATGCCGTTCAAGGTCAGACGCTTTCTTAGGGGTCCCTTCGGCCTCATGGCCCCACAGGTTAACAGCCCACGGGCTCGAATTTCGAACCGACCTTGAGGCCGAGAGACCGTGGGGACCATCGAGAAATGATATTGATCAAAGTCGATTGGAATGTCGGATTCACGCTTTCTACTCGCGCACCAGACCGCTAGGAGCTCATTTATTTGAACCTATCGGCACAGCTTCGTGCTGGGTTGAAGGCATAGTAAGAGGCACGAAGCGATTGAGGGGTGTGCCGAAATGAGCTCGGGGACGCCATGCGGTCGCGCCCGCAGGGATCGTAAGTGGAGCTCATGAAAGGGCACGCTACGGGCGAGGGTTTGCCAAGATGGGCCCGGGGACGCCATGCGGTCGCGCTCACTGAGACCACAGGGGGGGCTTCGTATGTCCCCAAGGGGCGCGATACGCGCGAGGGGTGTTCCGGAATATGCTCGTGGACGCCATGCGGTCGCGCCCATCGAGGCCGTCCGTGGTGCACCCCGAGGGGGCGCGACAGGTGTGAGGGGCGTACTGGCATGAACTCGTGGACGCCATTCGGGCGCGCCCGGTGGCTCCTTATGGTGTGCTCCCTAATGGGCACGAGACGTGCGAGGGCGTACCGAAACGGGCTCGGGGACGCCATGCGGTCGCGCCCGCTGAGGCCCTGAGTGCGTCTCCCTGTGGGACAACGGCATGTTTTTGGGACGACGTTGATCGACCGATGATGCCAAAGCTGATGGTAAGGTTGTGACGACGCTGACGATGACGAGGGGGAAGAGGAGAGGAAGGGGGGACGCAGGAGATAAGAGAGACACGCGGCGTTGCAGATTCAAACCGAGGAGCCAGAGCCACAGGGCGGTTTGGGAAAATGTGTTTGCCGTTTGATGTTGGCTTTCCCACTGCATGTGCAGCGTGACGAAGCAGCGCTGGCAAGTGTTGTTGCGCTTTTCGCGCAGTGCATGGCCGATCGTTGACATGCTGTGTAGATCCCTTTGTTCAAGATAGCGCTCACGTCTGAAATGATTGGGCTGAATGCCAAACTGCGCTGTGCACAACTGACATGCTGATCACTTCGCTGTTTCTTCACGCAACCAATATAAGCGCGGTGCTGCGCAGCCACGCGAACAATGTTAGCAATGCGCCCTTCGAAGGACATGGCAGGACTTGGTTCTCGTGCTCTCAATGTGCACCACTCCCGCAGTGATTTGTTTGACGTCCCCATTGGAGGTGGAGCGCGTCGAAGCAAAGTTGTTTGCATATGTTTTTTTGCGCATTTCGTAGATTCAGCGCCAGAACGCTGACAGGTCTGACGTTTTGTGTGTGAACACAGCCTCATTGGTGTAGAATAGCTGATTACTTGAAGCCAACATTAAGTATGTGTTTCCCACGTGCTGATGTTGTTCTCACGCCGCCGGAGTGCGCGCAGCGATGCCTAGCCATTCACGTCATGTTTCCGATCCGAGCCGTATACGAGAAAAGGTGTTATTATATTAGTTGTGTGTTGCGTGTGTGTTCTGCTGGCGCCTATCTACTTATATACATATATATAAGTATATATAGCATGTTACGAGTACTGTTGTTAGTGACAGCTCGCCGATTGTCCTTGTCATCGCACCCCCTTTCCCCATTCGCCCCGTTTATCCCTTGCTCTTTCTGTCCAGCATGTTCCCCACTGCTGGTTGGTTTGAAACTCCCTTGCGCACGTGCAGCGCGGCGAAGCAGAACGCCCAGCTTGTTTTCTGCATCTCGCGATGTAAGCAGCAGCATGCTTGCGGCTCGCATATATCCAGCGTCCCGAAACGAACGTTTCTTTCTTACAAATCCGCGGCCCCAGGGGTCCCGACCGCTTCCCCAGGGAAAGTTGTTCGCCCTGGATCTGTTTCTGATTCCCCTGGGGCACGAGAACGGCCCTTTAGGACCGAAGTCTGAGAAAACCGAGGGTGGAAAGCAAGTAGCGTGGCGAAGAACCCAATTCATTATCAGAAAACAGGCCGCCTGAATATGGCCTCAACGTGCTTGACTGAATCATTGGCGGTCGCCACATCCTGATTCGGTCGAGCACCCACGGCAAAACATTCACTATTCATGGGGCATTCAACGAATACTCCTGCCCAGCCATTCGTATCGGGCACCCACTATTCATTATGCAAGTGTGAGCAGGCCCAGTCAGCACAAGAGAAGCCTTGGGGGGGCCTGCGGCACCCAGGAAAAGCATCGCCAAGAAGTCCAACCACGCTTGACGTCTTCACGCACGCACGTGCACGACGCCGTGCGAAGGCACCCACTGGGGCCATAGGTGGAGCTCCCTGGGTGACAGGGAACGCGTGAGCGGTGTGCCGAAATGGACGCGGGGACGCCATGCGAACGCACCCGCTGGGGCCACAGGTAGCGTTCGCTGGGAGGCAGGAGACGTGTGAGAGGTGTTCCGAAAGGGGCCCAGCGGCGCCATGCGGACGCGCTCGCTGCGGCCCTCGGTGGAACTCCCTGGGAGCAGGAAACGTGTGAGGGGTGTGCCGAAACGGTCGCGGCGGCGCCATGCGGACGTGGAGCTCCTTGGGGGGCACGAAACGTACGAGAAGTTTACCCACATTAGCGCGGCGGCGCCATGCGGACGCACCCCCTGGGGCCCTCGGTGGAGCTCCCTGGGAAGCCGGAAACGTGTGAGCGGTGTGCCGAATTGGGCGCGGCGGCGCCATGCAGACGCACCTTTGGGGCCCTCGGTCCCTCGGTGGAGCGTCCTGGGAGGCCGGAAACGTGTGAGCGGTCCGCCGAACTGGGCGCAGCGGCGCCATGCAGACGCACCCCCTGGGGTCGTGCGCGGAGCCAATTGGGAAGCAGGAGACGTGCGATGGGCGTGCGTAGTGAACGCGGGGACGCCATGCGGACGCACCCATGGTGGCCATGGGTGGAGCTTCTTGGGCGGCAGGAAGCGAGTGAGGGGCGTGCCGAACTGGGCGCGGCGGCGCAGTGCGGACGCACCAGCCGGGGCCACGGGTGGGGCTCATTGGAAGGCAGGACACCTGTGAGGGGTGTGCCGAATTGGGCGCGCAATGCGGACGCACTCGCTGGGGCCCTCGGTGGAGCTTCCAGGAAGGCAGAAAGCGCGTGAGGCGGATACCGGCATGGGCGCGGGGGCGCCATGCTGACGCGCCCACTGTGGCCATGGATGGAGAATAAGTGCGGGGGCGCCATGCGGTCGCACCCCCTGGGGCCATGGATGGAGCCCCCTGGGGGGCACGAAACGCATGAGAGGTGTGCTGAGGTATGCGCGGAGGGCCATGCGGACGCAGCCACTAGGGAAATAGATGGAGCTCCCAGGGGGGCAGGAAACGCGTGAGCGGTGTGCCGAACTGGGAGCAGGAACGCCATGCGGATGCCCCCATTGAGGCCATGGAGCCCTTGGGGGGCAGGAAACGTGTGAGGGGTGTGCCGAGATGGGCGCGGGGACGCCATGCGGACGGACCCCTTGGGGCTCTTGGTGGAGCTCCCTTGGGGGCACGAAACGCGTGACGAAACGTGTGAGGGGTGTGCCGCAATGATGCGGACGCACCCACTTGGCCATGGGTGGAGCTCCCTGGATGGCAGGAAACGCGTGAGCGGTGTGGCGCGGGGGGCGCCACGCGGACACACTCACTGTGGCCATGGGTGGAGCTCCCCGGGGGGCAGGAATCGTACGAGAGGCTTACCCACATGAGCGCGGGGACGCCACGCGGACACTACTGGTGGGGCCCTCGGTGGAGCTCCCAGGGAGGCCGGAAGCGTATGAGAGGTGTGCCGAGATGGGCGCGGGATCGCCATCCATGCGGACGCAACCATTGGGGCCCCAGGTGGAGCTCCCTGGCGGGCAGGAAACGTGCCCTCAGTGGAGCTCCCCCTAGGGCGCAGGAAACGTATGAGGGTGTGCCGGAATGGACGCGGGGATGCCATGAGGACGCACCCCTTGAGGCCATGGGTGGATCCCTGGGGGGCCAAAAACGTGCGAGAGGTGTGCTGATCGCGGACGCCATGCGGACACACCCTTTGGTGCCCTCGGTGGAGCTCCCTTGGGGGCAGGAAACGTGTGAGGGTGTGCCGATATGGGCGGTGCGGCGCCATGCGGACGCACCCAGTGGAGCCCTCAGAGGAGCTCTCTGGGGAGCAGGACACATGCGAGAGGTCTGCCGAAATTTACGCGGGGACAGTGGAACCGCATGAGAGCGCAGCCGCTGTGGCCTTCGGTGGAGCTCCCACGAAACGCGTGAGGGGCGTGCCGAAATGTGGGGGGAACGGCATGCGGGCGCTGCCGTTGGGGCCTTCGGTGGAGCACCCTATGGGGGCACGAAACGTGTGAGTGGTGTGCCGAAATAGGGGGTTGGAACCGCATGCGGGCGCTGCCGCTGGGGCCTTCGGTGGAGCTCCCTATGGGGCCACGAAGCGTGTGAGGGGTGTGCCAGAATGGGGGTGGA